GGCTCTTTAAACATGTTTTAACATGTTTAATTTTACCTTTATGTATTTGCATTAATTCAAAAAGATTTATTTATAATAACTAACTAGGTACAACTAATTGTTTCACCACTTTTACTAATAAAAGATTTAGCTCACAATATCAGCAGTTTGTCCATTACTTAACTTTACGGTGCGTCAAGTTTTCTATTTTTACCTGCACAACTTGCCTCCATTAGTTTACACTGTTTACCCCATTAGAAGTATTTTATTATCTGTTATAAATCCTCAGTCATGTTTGGAAGTCAAATGTTCCATTTTCTTCATGTACAGTTGAATTTTGACATGTTGATGTTACTTTATTTTGTTGTTTTTTCCTATTTAATCACAAATGACTCATTTATTGTTAGTCACATTGTCGTGTTTGTTGCTGCTCATCAGCGTTGCTCACTTTCCTTGACGTGTTTTATAGGAAGGAAGGTCCAGAACTGATTGGAAATCTTGTACGGCCACATAAAGAACCAACACCTTTCAGCCTTCTGATGAAAAACACAGCAAAGAGGAAGCTGAATGCTGATGTAGTCATCTTATACCCGACTGGGTACGAGCTAAAAATTGTCCCAAATGCCACCGGGGGATTTGAACAAAAGAACAGAGAGTGCTGAGCTGATCAGGAGAAGCCTGGAGTTGATTCAGCTCCGTGCGTCAACTCCTGACTGAAACAAATGTACCGGTCAGCTTGAACAACGTTCTACAACCACCCCCTCATATGGTCCAAGATATGTTTCATCCTTTTCTAATAATTTACTACACCTTGAATTATATATCATTGTTGTGTTTTAGATGCTCTTTCCACTCTTAGCTGGCAGTTAATCTGTTTTAAATGCTTTCTTGCATATTTTTGTATTTTAAATCTGAACTGGTGGACCGTTTGACCCATTACATAACACAATCCTGATAACCACCTTGACCTATGTGCATTTTAGAATGATTACTATTTATCAGTAGCATTCTGATATTTTATTGATAGCTACCGGTAAATGATATAATAGTAAATATTAACAAAGCTTAAAGATAGAAATATGGGTTTTTGTATTATTTCAAATATATTTAGCTATTTTAGGTTCCGATGTCTTTTGCTTGCAGTTGTCCAAGTGGATTAATGTGACATAAAACTGTTTAGGTAAAAAAAAAAAAATAAAATTTAAATTAAGTGAACAGTGTGTGGATTACATTTGAAGACTTAAAATTAAATACCGTATTTTTCGGACTATAAGGCGGACTATAAGAATAAAGTTTGACTTATCTGACTGTTTTGTTTCGCTTAATATGCCTTATAGCCTGAAAAATAAGGTAAAAACAATAATCTATATAATACATATATAAGATAAAAACAAAAAAAGCACACATGCCTTACAAAAATACTGCATTTCAGCTTTGCAATGAAAATACTTCTCTGCATACATGTGCTTAATATGTGAATTTTGACACGCCAGCTGACATCTTGGAAGAACAAAAACATACGTGAATTTGTTGTTTGTCAAACACATTACACCTGAATGAGACAAAAGGGATGGAAGTAAAACCACCAGGTCAAGTATTGAGCACTGAACTGTATCTGTGAATCTATATTTAGTGGGAACACAACTGTACTGGTGTGACAGGCAGAGACTATAAAAGCAATCGGGCCTGAGAGGAACAGCATTTGCCTGGGATTATGAGCAACCGGCCCTGCTTTAGACAACAGACACACCCTCTCCTGCAGCTGCTCCACATGCTGTATTTTCAATTTACTATCAATGACTTAATCAGCTTGGGCCCTCGCAACCTTTACATGTCTGCAGCTAGTTCTAAAACTGGGCCTGAGTTCATGTTTTACACCCACTTTGTGTCCGACACGACACAAAACGCCTTTCAGGTTCAGCCTGTGTTGGTGCCATCGTGACATTATAGTGAAAAGGCCCTCCTCCCGTAGAGTTTCACCGTGTTTGTGCCGGAGCTGGTCAAATACAGCTGATCTTGCTGGTTTGTTGAACCAAATCGCAGCCGACTGTGTGAGTAAATGAAGCTGTGTTTGTGAAAGGCAGCCACCTGAGATGAGATTGGGACAGTACCATGAATAAGAGCTGTAATCTCACAGTGCTGGCAGTGAAGCCCCAGGACACACAAACATATGAGTAAATGCACCCCCCCCCCCCCCCACACACACACACACACACATACAAACACACACTGGGAGCACCCTTATTTCCTCTGAGATGTTCTGCTTCTCGTTGCTGTCCTGAAAGGTCTCGTTTTTTTGCTTTAGCCAAACATGTTTGTCTGGACGGTTTCTTTTTTGCTGAGATGTTTCGTCCTTCATCCAAAGGACTTCATCAGTCCGAGGAGCCACAACAAACTCAGTCCCACAAGCAGCACATTCATATAGTGAACCAACCAGTTTGATGGTGATAAGATGGTTTCTGGAGTCCACCCTCTCCCCCGTCAACTCCTCTGAGGCAGCCATGGTCAAAGTGGTTCAAAACATCAAAGTTCATGCTCAGTAATCCAGGTAACCAGATATCCAGTCCAGAGGGCCTGACTTAACTTTGTTGGATTTTTTACATGGATTACTGAGCATGAACTTTGATGTTTTGAACCACTTTGGTCATAGCTGCCTCAGAGGAGCCGACGGGGGAGAGGCAGCTCTAGAAACCATCTTATCACCATCAAACTGGTTGGTCCACTATGTGAGTGTGCTGCTTGTGGGACTGAGTCTGTTGTGGCTCCTCGGACTGATGAAGTCCTTTGGATGAAGGACGAAAAGCTTGTTTTGTTGTGTGAGACTTTTAAAAATTGGGTGTTGCATGAAAGTTGCAAATAAATGGGCACATTTGTCAGTTTTGGTTTATGTAAAATTAAAAAGGTAAAAAAATATATATCAAGCTTGTGGGCTTTTTTATAACAAATACAATATAAGACATCACAAGCTCGTTATTTTTAAATAAAGTCAACTAAAGTTAGGATTAAGACAAAAGTCATAACACAATTATTATTCAGTTACTATTTAATGCATATACCGTATTTTTCTGACTATAAGGCGCACGTAAAATCCTTTAATTTTCTCAAAAACCAACAGTGTGCCTTATGCATTAATTCTGGTTGTGCTTACTGACCTCAAACTAATTTTATGTGGTTATTGTGAATGAGCTGAATAAAGTTTGACTTATCTGTTTTGTTTCGCTTAATGCGCCTTATATTCCAAAAAAATACCGTATCTATATTCTTACATCTTCCATCTGAAACATCATCCATTTATGCCAAGTGTTCGGCTGTAAATGATGATAGCTTTATTTGCATTTGTCGTCTCTGGCTGCGACTAATACCTTTAAAAGTCAAAACTGAATTAAAAACCAACACATATGAAGTTCAGACAACACAAAGCAAAATAAATGAGTAAACCACAATAACTTCATACAAAGAGAAAGAAAAACGGATTCAGCCTTGACGCCACTCGGAGATCCGCTCGCTCACACAGACTGTAAAATGTGTGGGTCGGTGTAAGCATTTGAGCCTGAACAGTTAAAATTCACCCCCTGAGCCCTCCTTATCAATTAGCCCAGATCAGCAAGGTGTGTGGAGATAATATCACGGCTGACGTGGGGGTCTGCCTCGCCTTAAGTCCGAGCAGGTGACCCCTTCCGCCCACGTTGCTGAAGCCTCGGGGATCGAGGCCTGAGCCTGTTGTTATGCACCCATTAGCTGCAACAACAGGGAGGATAAACCTGCCACTCAGCTGCAAACTGAATTTAAACACATTCACACCAATTACAGTGGATTCTCCCCCAGGGGGCAAAGGTGTGTTTAGGTGGCAGACTGGAAGTCAAAACATTCCTCGGATTTACCAGGAATTTATGCAGAAGTTATGCAAAAAAACCAACTCATTTTTTTTGATTAATTTGAACAAATCCCACCGTTTTTTTTTTTTATACCGTGGGAAGAATTTAACTCCTTTTAACATGAGAGGATATTTTAAAACATTCACGAACAAAGCCCATGAATATATACACACCTCTGGCGCATGTTTCCTCTGAAGCGCTAAAAATGGATCGTGAGGTCAGGGTGATTGACCCCCTCCGAGAAGAACCTCTTCCTTTTGAAATAGGGAAAAATCTCTATTTATAAAGCCGGTCTCTTGTCGAGTTATAAATACACTAAATCATCCTCAAGGTTTAGTCTAATCTCTTAAAGATTTTTGCCTGATAAGTTTGATTGATGTCAAAGCGACATGCGGGCCTCAGTGGATAAATATATCGGAGCCGTTCAGTGCGTTTAAATAAATCCTGACCTCATCGTTATGTTAATACATGAGGAATCGCTGCGTTTTTGTTAAAAAAATCATGAACGTCTAAGTTAAAAGTTCCTGCTTGAATCATTTCGAGACAGGATGTCTGCATAAACGGCGCTCCGTGCTGAGAAAACAAGGCGCTTCGAGTTACACGAACACTGAGATCACCTCCACTTCGTCCGGGCCAGGAAGCCGGGTCACGGGCCTCTGCCGCCCTGCTTCCAGGTGAGCAACTACTGCTGCTGCAGGGAACACCAAACCCAACCCATGAACTGCGTACAACTTCAAATCTCTGTAAAAGTTAACTTTTTTTTTGTTGTTTTTTTGTGCCTGCCCTGCTGTTTGTAGTGCGACAGTTTCCTAAAGCTTTGCCATGCAGAATAAAAGCAATAAACACCACAGAGGAAGAGTCTTATTTGCAAACATTTATTTTTCAAAAGTGCAAAAGTATCAAAAAAATACTCAGTATATACATAAACTTTAAAAATAGTGACTGTACAGTATTTCTCATCACAAAGTGAGCTCATATCCCTGAAAAAGAAGTAGAAAATAGTGTTTTTTAATGTGGCGTTTAACTGCACAGATACAGTACAAAGTTCTCTTCAAAGCTGCATTTTAAAGTCCCAGTGGAACAATCTAAACATTTTTGTTCCAGTTTAAATCAGAGATTTGAGGTGTGTTGTTTTGCAGCGGGTGGGGTGGGGGGGTTAGGAGCTGTAGTTGCAGTAGTACACAGCTGTGCTTGCATCTGACAGCACCGATGATATGAGGCTCTCAGGTCCTTGCATGCCGGCCTCGTGCGGCCCGTACGGTAAACCTGTCATCTCCGCACGCGCCGAAGAGGAGCTCAGGTACTGCTCGAACTCGCTGCGGTCCACCTCGGCCAGCAGCTCCGAGTGGTGCATCTGCTCCATGCTGTCTGCTGAGTGGGAGTGGGAGTCAGGGGGTGGGGATAGCTGTCCTGCCCCACCGGGGTGCCGCTTGTGGCTGGAGCTGCAGTGCTGGGTGTAGTACATGGCCAAAGTGTTGGGGCATCCCATGTAGGAAGGAGGCTGAGGGGGTTGCTCTGGGGCAGAGGATGGATGTCGGTGCATGATGGGGTTATGGTGGTTGGAGAGGGGTTCCTGAGGCTGAAAATCTACCTGAGAGTGATACGGGTACGCAGGCATCATGTGACAGTCCTCTTGAGAGTGTGGGGAAAAGAAGTCTGAGTCTACAGCATCCAGAGGAGACGTGTCAGGTGTGGGAAGACTGTAGCTTTCATAAGGACCCCCAAGAGTCTGAGGGTCCCTGTAGTGACCAAGCGGCTGCGGAGGAAGTTGGAAGCCGCCGTGCTCGTGGTAGCCAAGGCCCAGACTCTCCATGCACACTCTGCCTTCCCCCGGCATCGGCTGGGCCTGGTGATCGGGCACACTGTGGACCAGAAAGCCAGAGTCCAGCCTCTTAATCCTCTTCACCTGCTTCCGCCGCCGGGGCCGGTACTTGTAGTTGGGGTGATCCTGCATGTGCTGGACCCGCAGGCGCTCGGCCTCCTCCACGAAGGGCTGCTTCTCTGTGACAGGAAGGGCTTTCCACGATTTCCCTTCAGGTCAAGAAGAGAGAGCACATCAGTTATTTTGCATGTCATCTGAACACAAACACAACCTGTTGACATGTTGCCCGGACAGAATTTTTTTTTTAGTGATTACTCTGACGCCTTTAAAATAACTAACGTTGATTAAAATAAATGAAAGTAACAACGTTGATTAAAATAAATGAAAGTAACAAACTATTTGGAGAAAGCCAATAAAGCGTGCTGGGCAGACTCACCCAGCATTTTGCTCAGCTCTGCGTTGTGCAGGTCCGGGTTTTGCTGCGCCAGCCTCTTGCGCTCATCCTTCGCCCACACCATGAACGCGTTCATGGGCCGCCGGATGCGCGGCTCGCTCTTCCCGCGGCTCTGGCTGCCGGAGCCGGACGCGCACGGCTCGTTCTTCACCTTGGCGTCCCCGAGAGGGCTGAGAGGGTCGGCCCACTGGCAGTGTCCCATTCCAGGCATCATGACTGACATCGCACACCTTGCCTGGGTCTGATCGTCGCTGGCGTAACCCGCATCAGGACTACTCATTTCTGTCCAGCTGCTGGGAGGAGGAGGAGGAGGAGGCGCGCAGAAACAAGCGAGCAAAACCTGGGGGGTGGGAATCAATTTCTAAAACGTGTGGATTTAAATTTGGGAAGAAAAAGTCACATCCATATGTTTGTTCCAAGCGCAGCAGAAACTGAAACGTTAGAGCCAAGTCAGCAGTGCGTGCATGTCCATGCGCTTTAAACTCGCAGGCAGCCAATCAGCTGGTGGAGGGAGTGCCCGCTACTACAAAGGTGTGAAAAAGTTCGGACCACCCCCACCTCCGACCCTTGTTTGGAGCTGCAGCCTGTGGATTGGGCGCTGAAGGCTTGAAACGTGATGGTCGCAACTTTTACGCACGGCTGGACAAGTGGGGTGGGGGGGTGGGGGTCATTGATTTTATGAGACTGAAATCAACAAGAAAGCAAGTTTAAATCAACAAAATGAGCTGCTGGATGTTGAAACAACAAAAAGCTGGTGCTTGTTTCTGTTGATCCAGTTTCAGATTATCTAATCCACGTCGATTGAAGATGTTAATAAAACTGTGAGAAAAGAATCACACGTTAAATATAAATCACGCCTTCACCTGGCAGGTAAGATGTAATAAAAAACTGTTTTTTCTCTTATCTGACGTACAACTCCTCCAGCTCCCACAAAAAACAACATTTTATTTTAAATGCATTTCAATGTTTTTTATATAAATAACTCATTACGTTTACTTTAATGTATGTTATGCTTTATAAAATATTACATACAAAGCATGCCTTTTGATTTATTTTTCCTCCAAGTCTCCTTGACACTTTAATATTACCCTGTTTCTTTGGAAACCGGGTTCTGTGAACAATAAATATGTTACCTGTTCTGGATATTTTGATGTTATTGCTGACATATGATTCAGTAGCTTCAAACTTTAGGAGTCAAATTTAAACCTTCATAACTCTCAGAGTCGCACACAACTTATAGAAATGTATGAGAATGTTTTTTTTATTTTTATGTCTGGATTTGATCTGTTTACGTAGCTCCAGCTGTGGTCCGAGATCCAAACATCAGCCCACATGACACCGTGGAGTTTCTTATCGGAGCCTGCAGACCCCAACCTGTCAGCTTCGTCTTTTCTGGGACCATTTCCATCTTGTTGTCGTCTAGTTAGGGGCTGATAGAAATATGAGATACTTACGCAACCTTTTTATGCCCCCATAGGACAGCAGGGACTCAAAGCGTGTCCACTAGGGGTTGGTGGGAGGGTGGGTGTTGGACAGAGGTCCAGGCAGGCGCTGCATGAGACAGGATCTGAACCATAATACTGTCATCGTCTATTTTACCACTGATGACCTGTTATGGTTTCCCTCCCTTGGTTCCTAGGGGAGAAGAGAAAGAGGGACCCAGTGTGTGCGTGGTGTCCCTGCGAATGCGTGTGTTGACATGGGTGTGGGTCTGAGTGTGCCCTGGCCGCCTCTCGCTCAGTGTGGGAGTGAAAAATCCTCCGTTTGATGGTAGAAGTCATAAAGTCTGGAGCCGCAGCCACACTTCCTCAAGGTGAGGTTCAGAGTCGACCCAAAGGAGGGGGAGGAGTTGATGTGGAGGGGACGAGGAGAGGTGACACGCCTCATATCGACTCTCTTCGTCCCTCCATTCCTCCCACCAGTACCTCCACCCCGTGCCTGGGGAGTCTGGAGCTGGGTGGGGGCCAGGGATCTCGACGCCAGCCTCTGGACTCCACGCTGAGGGAGAGGTCACTTGGCTTGCTTACACAATGGCATTATCTCAGTTCCAGCCTCGGCTACTGCAGCGGTGAGCACTTCCTGTCACTCTGCAAGCACTTCCTGTCCTTGGCGTAGAGGCACAAATTGTCCGCCTTCCAAGTGAGTTCTGAAGCACATTGAGCCGCTGGTCGCCATGTGTCTGTGGGTGGTTTTCTTGGGAATTGCACAATGTGTTTGCTGGCTCCTTTGTGCTGAGCTGCAAAGCACCAGTGTTAGTTTAAATCACAGGAACGGAAGGTATATATGTGTTAGCACTCCGCTCTAATCCCAGGAGCCAGACGAGCTGCACAGTCCTGGGCCGGACAAAGTTACAGAGTTCAAACAATACTCTGCTAATGAGCTGCAAGCGCTGAAGGCATAGTCCTTTTTACTTTTGCAGGGTAAGAGCATATTAGACATTTAAAGCTTTGGAAATATAACTGGTTAAAGAGCAGTTAGGTTGTGTAAATTTAACAATGCATGTTTTTTTGTTTTTTTACTGTTTGTTCATTTTTACACGAGGGAGAGCAGGAACACACAAGACACCCAGATCCTCTGAAAATACTTTATCACATTTATAACAACAAGCACAAGCAAAAAGGCAACAAACTGCCAGTTTTGGAGAAAGTACTCAAACACTGTACTTAAGTAAAAGTACAAATAAACAGACAAAAAAAGTAGAAGTACCACATTAACATTTTTACTTAAGTGAAAGTAACTATGTACTTGCTTTTAAAATTACTTAAAGTATTAAAAGTAAAGGTACTTGCTGGATGTATTGCGTAATGCAATAGTCTACAATATTTTATATGTATATTTTCTGTAATACATTAATAGTTTTGAGCCATTTTAATGAACAATGCTGCAGATAATACATGTTTTTATTGTGTGACATAGTTCACACTTGGACTTGTGATTCTGTGCGTCAGAATTTCAGGGGTGACATTAAATGCCATTAAGCAAAATAAGAAAGAGGAATAATTATACCTTTGAAAGTTTTTATTTAACACAAAGCAAAATCAATGTGTCATTTTAACTGCAGTAAACACATTTAAGTAAAAGTTGTCTGCCTGAAAAAAAGGAGCATTAGACCAAACATGGACTAACTCCCCTCTTGCCATTGGTTACTTTTAAACTAACGAACAAATCAAAAAACACAACGTGAATGTAACTTGTAACGCAACGCATTATAGAAATGTAGTGTAGTAGAAAGTACAGATACTTAATGTAGAATGCAGTGGAGTAAAAGTAGAAAGTACCCATGTTTAACTCTACTTAAGTAAAGTGCAGATACATGAAAAATGTACTTAAGTACAGTAACAAAGTACTACTTTGTTACGTCCCACCACTGCAAATTGCAAATTGGCATCCTGGCTCTGTTGCTCAGTGGCAACAACGATTGTGTTTTAAGACATGAATCCATTTGACATTTTCCTGAATAAAAATGAGACTGTTTTAAATAGAAAGAGAAACTATGTGAGCACGGTGGCGCAACTGGTAGAGCTGCTGCCTCTCAGCGAGCAGGTCCCTGGTTCAAACCCTGGTTCAGGTGCCTTTCTGGGTGGAGTTTGCATGTTCTCTCCGTGCATGCGTGGGTTTTCTCCAGGTGCTCCGGTTTCCTCCCACAGACCAAAAACATGCATGTTAGGCTGATTGGTAACTCTAAATTGTCCCTAGGTGTGAGTGAGAGAGTGAATGGTTGTTTGTCTCGTTTGTCTCTATGTGGCCCTGTGATGGACTTGCGACCCGTCCAGGGTGTACCCCGCCCCTCGCACAGTGATTGCTGGACATGGGCACCAGCGACCCCCGTGACCCAAAATGGAATAAGCGGGTAAAGATAATGGATGGATGGATGGAGAAACTATGTGGTGTAGATTCTCAGTAATCCAGAGAAATCTTAACAAGCTTAATCAAAAGAAACTGGATGGGTTTTTTTAATTATTATTCTTGAAGAAGAATTAGGAAAACGTTTCGAGAAGCGAAGCCTTAAGAAAAAAAAAATCATTCAACGTTTTACACATTTGGAAGAGATGGACGCTTGTGTGTCCAGGCAAAGCAAAAGAACAGCGGTCCAATAAAATACATTTAACTTAAATTAGTGTCTCTCAGGTTAAAGTGTGAGGGTTTATTCTGCTGCCGTTCCTTCAATCCTTCAAATAGAAACTTGTTTACTGGTGGAAACACTCCATTGCTGCACAGAATAAAGCTTTTCGAAACACGAGAAAAATAGAAATCACACAAATGATCAAAATGCTAAAAAAGGCAAGAGGTAGAAAAAATCTCTCTGACCTGTTTGGACTTGAGGACTGAGTCGTCACAGAAGCGTCCCTTTGGGTCCTTCAGGATGGGAGTGGGATCATCTGGATTGTTCCAGCACGTCATATGGAGACTTGATGTGACTGGGTACTTAGTAAACAACAAAAAACCAGCAGGTGTCTCAGCCAGTTTCATATACTGAGCTAAAATTTGAAACGATAGTAGCTGAGAGTCAACTTCAACACATACTCTGAGCACTAACAAGTTGCATGGGCTCGTAACTCTGACATTAAATCAGTCTTGGAGGATAATTTAATTTTTCCACATCATACAATAATTTTATCCATTTTTATTGTTATTACTCGTTACTCGATACACGTTTATCTAAACTTAAATAAATCTGAGTTCTACTATACAAAACGTTTTAAACTTGACTTTGAAAATCATGAAATTACATAAAAGGATAAAGAGCAATGTGAACATTTGATTTGTTTCAAAATACTTTTTTTTGTTTGTTTTGTTTTTTACCTACAGTACTTATTTAAAAAGTCTTCAGTTGATCCAAAATGCTGCTGCCAGAGTCTTAACTGGAGTTACTGGAAGAGATCATATCTCTCCAGTTTTAGCTTCTCTCCATTGGCTCCCTGTCAAATCCAGAATTGAATTCAAAATCTTACTTCTAACCTACAAAGCTCTCAACAATCTAGCTCCATCTTATATTACAGATCTTATTGTTCCATATTTTCCTAACAGAGCACTTTGCTCTCAGACTGCAGGCTTACTCACGGTTCCTAGAGTTTTCAAGAGAAGAAAGGGAAGAAGATGTTTCAGTTCTCAGGCTCCTCTCTTGTGGAACAACTTCCAGTTTCTGTCTGTGAGGCTGACACATTGTCCAGTTTTAAGACGGGGCTTAAGACTTTCCTCTTTGATAAATCCTATAGTTAGTGTTGGCTTATATGCTCCTATAAGCTTAGATTACTGGAGGAAAAATAGACCTCATTTTCC